AAAATGAACATTTCATAACAATTTGATTCTGACATGAACAGGATGAAAGTAGTTAACATGTCGGACTAAATCTTTTTTAATTGTACATGCCACCTTTCGTGTTCGCAGAACTTATTCTGGCATGTCTGACGTTGAATTTATTTCAGGCTTTGCATATTTATTCAGTAATGCTTAGCCAAATGCCAAATCCATTTTCATGTAAACACATTAGTGCCTCAGCTTCATGGGGACATGAAAAAATTGGCAATTCTAAATTGAGGTGTTTTGTTTCTGTGTGATCCTGTACCATACAAATGGATCTTTTTTTTCTAGATCACCAACCTTCCCAAATTTTCCAGCCACTTTAGACTTTGCACAGGCCTTATTGTGCAGTGTGCAACCCCCCCCCCCCCCCCCCCCCGATAAAGTAATGGTGTCATGATACATCATGTACATGTGACATGCACCACTGCTTTAGTGTTGGCGGTACATGTAGAACTTTGAATGTATGGCTACATTTCTCCCATGCCCCACCCCCTTCCCACCCCCTAATAAAAGCAATTGTACATGTGATCCTGTTTTCTGAAAAAAAGCATTTTGTTATGATTTTTCAGGAAGTTTGCAGTATCATTCTCCTGACAAGAGGGTTTCTCGTATCTTCTGGAGCTCTGGTGAGATGGTGGTGTGATGAGCCGTTGACTCCTCGTGATGAGCCGTAGCGTACAGTGGAAGTGAATCTTTCATCCCACGTTTGTGCATGGAGGATCAGGATTACACAGACATGAGCATGTGTTGGGTGTATTTTTGGTAACTGAATGTGTGCAAAACTGTGTGATGCCATGGGCACTGCTAGATTTGAACAAACCCTGCACCACCTTGATCCGACACATTAAGAACTTCTATTGTCTACGTGCCAAGGAATCACTCTGGAATTTAAGCTCAGGATTCACACGTCACACATGATCACTCGCGATGGACTGGTTCTCGCTCCCATAATATCGGACATGTTTACATTTTAATGCCCATTTATGGCCATTGACTGGATCACCTCTGCACATGTGCAGTACAATTTTGTTTTTTGGAAAATGATATTTACATTCTGATTTCTCGTGCATGGCTATCGCAAAACTGACTCGTACATGAACCATAAACAGTAGGCAAAATGGTCATGTCTCTACTGAAACTGCATTAATGACAACATTGTTGCCACTTTGAATGGGCTGGATCCATGCTTACATTATCATTGTGATTTTGTACATAAGGGCAGAATTGTTACCTAGGCTAATTTGTATACATTGGTAGGAATTCCTCCAGGACTACTGCGAACGACACTCTCAAGTGCCAAAATTATGAATTGAAATACAACTGGATATTAACTTTCACTGAAAATCAACTAATTGTTGACACTACTAAAATGCTATTATTACATTAGATATTTTTATCGCGCTTTTTTTAAAGTAAGTCAATAGGCTACTAATAACAAGTTTTAAGTTGGCCTTCTTTTCCGTACTTTAAAACAGATGAGACTTTTACGTGTACATTGTATGTGGATTGCTTTTTTAGGTGTACTGTGACCAATGGGAGACCAAAGGATTTCACTAAATTGGCCGCCAACTTAAATAATGAAATAAAGTAAAAAATAAATATTACCCTGCCAGTTTTTAAATCTAATATTCAATTGGAGTCTGCCTTTGCTTGTGCCACATGCAATGATTGGCTGCAGCCTCTACTATCTCTGGGGGAATGCGGCAATCTCTATATATGCTGTGTGATGTCATGTGGCCATAGATTTCAGCAACCTTGCTGGTTACTTTTGCTTCTTGGAAGGGTTCTGGACAGAACTGTTGTGCTGACCTGACTCGAAACTGTAACCGACCCAACCAAAAACCAACTTTGTGTTTGGTCGGGTCGGTTTGTCCGTCATTTCAATTGGGTTGGTCAGTTTTGTGTTAAATAAACGGGGAAAAAAGATGGAAACAGTTTGGAAATTAACACAGCGCAGGATTTGGATTATATCTATAATGTTTCGCATCGGTTTGGCCTGTAGTGGACCCGACCCGAAGCAAAACACTACTGAACAGGGGAGGTTTTCGAAGTTTTCGAGGTTTGGATGAAGCTAATCTGGGGCACTTGTGGACATATGCAGGACTGCATTTGCTCGAGTTTTCCTAATAGCCCGAACAGGCCTGAATCCTGGAATTTTAATACGCTCCCCCCCCCCCCCCCCCCCACCCAGGGAGTTAGGGTTAATGAAAAATGTTTGAAGTGATAAGTGTTGCACCCGTAGTGGTTTAACTTCATGAATATTGCTGTGCAAATAGGGGCAGGATATTGTTTCTTTTATGAATTTTTAAAACAATTTCAAGCAAACTTGGAGCATTACATTTGTTCATATAATCATAAGGCCGTCTGACCTACAGGAGTCTGATGTAGAAAGCTCATCCTGCTTAATATTATTGGTGTTCGTACAAAATTATTTGTATTCTTAACATGCATGATCTGGCCGGAGTTCTGCTGAATATTTCCCCCACAAACCACCGGCCTGTGACGCTCAGCGCACGGTTTCGCTGCGCTGCAGTTCAGCAAGTAGGGCAGTGCGACAACGCCGTGTTAACGCCGCGCGTGCCCCGGTGGTGTGTGCATGCGTTCACGCCCTACAGCTATTGTGCCGTGTGATGTGCGTGTATACCGCACGGTGTTCGTGAAAAGTGGCTGTATTTTAACGGTTCTAAAAAAAAATCTACCGCTGGCCTTCGAATGAAACTTCATGAGTCATTTAAGATGGTCCTTATTTACAAGAAGTGACCAAGGAATATTTGGGGAAAACTTGGTATCAATAATAAAACGGGATTTTCGTCGGGGATTTTTAACAACTTCCAAAACAAACAGCGACAGAAAACCTTACGCACGAAGCGTAATCAAACCTGATTTTTACAGGTATTTTGAACTTTATGGGCCAGCTCAATCTCCCAATGTGTGGAAACTCACGTTATCTGTCAGAATTATAGTATGGCACCATAAGACATTGTGTGAGTCATGATTTAGGGGCAAGTTTGGGGCATGTTTTTCGTGTTTTGTTTTCGTGAAAATTTAGGACGCCATCTTGAATTTTCCAAAATTGCATGACGTCATCACTTTGATACACTGGAGTAAACAAACGCTGTGCGGACAAAATTGCTCAAGTTAATTACGTTATGTCTATGGGATTGAAACGGCCGTGTAAAGAGAAAAAGCACGTCACGTCTTCGTCTTGAGTCGAGATTCTTGCTTTGGGAACTGGTTGAAGCATGCACTGGAGCATGCTTGGAGCATGGTTGGAGCTGGTCATGTGATGTGGGTGTCATCGGGAGTCCTGTGTAAAGGAGTAACAAAGAAAACTTGTAAAAAAATACATCGGCTAACAATAGCTACAAATAAATTGTTCCTGCGCGGTTTGTGCCTTACGATTCTGCGCGCCGTGCGTGCTCACGGGTGTCGGACGCTTCGCCCCATTTCCACGTCGCCCCATGTCACTTCGCCCCTAACCACTTCGCCCCATCCCCACTTCGCCCCATCCCCACATCGCCCCATCTCCGCTTCGCCCCATCCCCACTTCGCCCCATCCCCGCTTCGCCCCATCCCCACTTCGCCCCATCCCCACTTCGCCCCATGTAGTATAAAAAAGGGAAGGCTAGGGGTGCAGACCAAATAAACTGCCAAAGACCCCAGATAATAAATGCTCCCAATTCTAGAAACTCAGGAAAAATACAAACTCTCTGATGAGGTGCTCGAGACACAGATGAGAGAAATGATGGCTTAAATAAAATCATCAGCCGCTGGATTCAAAAGAATCCCGTAGGTATGGGTCAGTGAGTTCAAAGGAACTCACTGCCTTGAGGAAAATGTTCCGTCAAAATGTGTCTGATATGTGAGACTTACAACTTCATTGATGAGATTGGTTCCTCCAAGAGTGAAATTAGGATGTCAAAGGTATTGTCGTTCTCAGATAAGTGGGAGACGGGTTGGTATAGCCGGGTTGGGAACAAAGTTGGATCTTTTACTTCAAGCTTTTTTCTCGGTAGGGGACAGCCTAGCTTGAGAGGTTGGTTATGAATTGTTCATTTGGTGATGGGCTAATTCTTTCCGTTGGTTAGCAATTAGTGAATCTATTGAAATAGTTTTTTTTTTAAGCCAAAAAAATAGATGAGATTTTTTTTTTTACATGTAACGGCTGGGGCGAAGTGGGGATGGGGCGAAGTGGGGATGGGGCGAAGTGGGGATGGGGCGAAGTGGGGATGGGGCGATGTGGGGATGGGGCGAAGTGGGGATGGGGCGAAGTGGTTAGGGGCGAAGTGACATGGGGCAACGTGGAAATGGGGCGAAGTGTCCGACATTCGTGCTCACAGCACATCGCGCAGAAATCGCCATCTTTATTTTCGGGTTGCGTGTTTTCGCTGTGCTGTCATCGTAATTTCCCCCCCCCCCCCCCAAATTTCTCTAAAAAAAAAATCAAAACCCGGCCCTCTATCTATGACATACCTGTTTATTGAGAATGTCTCCAACTATTTTGGTCGGGCTTTTTTAAAGTGGATTTTGTTCCCTATAGGAACCGGGCCCTTCTACTAAATACTACACGATCGCCATGTCCGAGGCCCACGCGATTGGGTCACACTTTTCACAAACAACAATTGTCATTGCCAGCAGTGGTGTTCGAAAGAATACTTATAATCCTTTGCCAGAGGTGTTCGAAAGAATTACTACTAACTATAATCTATAATGTGTCATAGCACAAACCGGACTTACCATTGAAACGACCATCAAACGAAGCTAGTAGTGCTGAGAAAATGTGGGGCAAGCTTGCCTTCAGCTTTGCATGTTGCATGGAATACCGTTGCATGCGCTGCTCCTCTATACGAACGTATACGTATACGTACGTGGCACGACAAGTGTAGCGTGAATATCCGACTCCATGAAATGTGGACTCATTGGTAGTCCTGCGCACGCGTGAGTACGATACTGTGCTATTTTTAGGATCATTTTGGGAGAGTGACCTGTCACGTACGTGCGAGGGATCAACCAATAATAGGGAAATAGGGGTCCGATTTTCATAGGAGTCGAATTTTCACGTGACACCGGCCCGTACGCAAGATGGCGGCCGGCTTAATGGGGAAAGGAATTCTGGGAAATATGGGGTGAAAATAGCCGGGCTCCGTTCCGCATCCCCCGCAGCCAACAGGCGCGATGGGGACGGGAGACCGGTCGGAGACCGGTCGGGAAAATGGCAGCGCCCCCGAATCATTTTCGTGATTGTAGTATAGAAGATCCGTGCTTAAAGCCTGTCAATTGTATCAAATGTTTGGCAAGCTAATAAAACGTGGCATTTCGACGTAGAAGCCTCGCTCCAACGGTGGGTTGTCGTATCGGCTTGCAGATCGCCACATCGCTGTTCTTACACAGAAGCAAGGACGCTCAATGAAGATGCCATGTACTGGAGTAAGTTGTGTAAAATGTAGGCTTATTTTATTAAGTGCAAACTCTCTAAAGAAAGTCGTGACATTAGGTATATGTTCATAAACAAATTGAAAGATTAAGCACCACATTAGCCCCATAAATGTGGCCAATTTACTGGACTACCTCCGTAAATAAAGGCTACACTTCCACCATGTACAAAAACATGTCGAACTTTGTCAAATTTTGATTTTCACATTTAGGCTTAGTTTGTATTTTTTTTTTTTTTTTTGGCTTTAGAAGCATGCTCACCCTCTTTATAGGCTAATCAGAAAGTGCTGCCTTTTTTAGATGTCTATTTTTGTGTGAAATTTCCAGATTGGTTTGCACGCGTTTGCGTATCGAAATTTCAACATGAAATTTCACGAAAATTAGACATCTGAAAAAGGCAGCACTTTCTGATTAGCCTATAAAGAGGGTGAGTATTCTTCCAAATCGAGAAAAACTGCAAACTAAGCCTAAATGTGAAAATCAAAATTTGACAAAGTTCCACATGTTTTTGTACATGGTGGAAGTGTGGCCTTTATTTACGGAGGAAGTCCAGTAAATTGGCCACATTTATGGGGCTAGCACCACATAGGACTTATGGAAAACAAGTTCCGTATATAGTTTTTGGTTACGGGTCTCTCGCAAAAAAAAATCCACAGAAAATAAGATTTAACTGTCTGGTTGCAATCTTAAATAAAATGTCATGTCACGGTACATGGTACTTACACTGCTATCAGCTTCGTTCAAAAAATCACCGGTATCACCGGTATCAAATGATCAAAGGGAGCAATGCTCATAGCGATTTTTGGCAAGGTATGTCCATCTACAGTTGGAAACTGTACGATAGCTTATTTTTTTTTATTTTATTTTTTTTGGTGTCTTATCACTTTTAATTGTTTTCTTTTCAAAATGGCCGCCAATATGCTTGTTATCGGATCAATTATAAGCATGTTTTGGCCGCCATTTTTATTTTAAAAAAAAGTGATAGCACCCAAAAAGCTGCTAGCTGCAATGCTATCACATATTTTCCAACTATACAGGGGTGCTAGCCCCATAAATGTGGCCAATTTACTGGACTACCTCCGTAAATAAAGGCCACACTTCCACCATGTACAAAAACATGTCGAACTTTGTCAAATTTTGATTTTCACATTTCAGCTTAATTGTAGTTTTTTTGACTTGGAAGCATACTCACCCTCTGTATAGGCTAATCAGAAAGTGCTGCCTTTTTCAGATGTCTAATTTTCTTGAAATTTCATGTTGACATTTTGATACGCAAACCGTGCAAACAAATCACGAAAGTTCACAAAAAAAATTGACATCTGAAAAAGGCAGCACTTTCTGATTAGCCTATAAAGAGGGTGAGTATGCTTCTAAAGCAAAACAAAAAAAAATACAAACTAAGCCTAAATGTGAAAATCAAAATTTGACAAAGTTCGACATGTTTCAGTTGTACATGGTGGAAGTGTGGCCTTTATTTACGGAGGTAGTCCACTAAATTGGCCACATTTATGGGGCTACAGGGGTGCATAGCTTGTGTGCCAAAAATCACAATGAGCATTGTTCCCCTCGTTCGATACCGACCAAACCCCAAGGCTGCTGATGGCCTATTATCATTATATCTGGCAAATGGGAGACACTACTTTTGATAAGGTACAGTGAGATTATTGGGTCTTAAAGAGGTTGTGGAATGCTGAAAATCGTTTGTTTTTTATATTTTTATATTGTAGAGTAGACCCATATATAGCATAATGACAAACTTCCATTCTTTTCTAATGTGCGTTTATATGTTTATAATACTGAAATTCATCGAGTAATTTGTTGGTCGGCGAGCGCATAATTGAAATCAACAGTCGTCGGGCTCTTCGTAAAATCAGAAAAAGCGTGACGTAATAAACAGGACTCGTTTATACAACGACTGTTTACTGCTGCCCAACCCGCCCCGTCAGCACGTGTGACTCGCAGTCAAGCATTGAAAAATCAACATTTTGTAAAAGACTCGCGGAGATTGATATTCCTTCCCATTGCTTAATTTTTGGATGAGTATATTGAACAAGGACACGGTGACTTCTGAGCTGTTCTTCCGTATAAATTTGAGCCCCAACTGCCCGAAAAAGAGACCAGCGAAAACACGGATACTGCAACTGGCCAGCTGAAAACGCCAGGCAACGCGGCTCTGATGAGTGGTAGGTCTGCGACGTTTGTGTGAAAAAAGAGCTGCGTTTTATCCAAGGACTCAAAGTATTATGTTCATGATAACATTTTTAGATGAGCATCAACAGTCCTACCACAAGTTTCTTCGTGATTTACAGACAATCTTAAACGTTATTCTGGTGAATATTCAGTCCAAAGAGACGACAAATCGTCAGGTTGTTTTCGAATTATACGCGTACGGCACGCATAACGCATCACGGCAGTGGATGTGGTCGACCGTGTCCAGAACTAATGTTGTACGGTTAGCAGCGTCGCGGGCCCCGGTCAAGTTCGTTGCCTGGTGCTTTTTATGTATACGTTCGCTACAAAAAATAGTCCTCTTCTCTTTTCTTTCCTTGTGCATTTTAACTCTTGTTTTAACATCCTGAAACGATAATTACGAATTTACTTGAATTTCGAAATTGTTAACTTTATTGTTTACCCCCCAAAAAGCCGTAAAACAACGTCAGGAGACCATAGGACTACCGCTTCACCTCGGCCTGTAAACGTGGCTACAAAAAAGTACAATTCATATATCATAGTCATGCTCCGTTCATAAAACAAAAATCTCTGGGATCCCGGTTGAAAACAAAATTCACTGGTCCCGAAATTTAACGAGCACTATCATTATTTTCAGTACCTAATTAAGACTTTATTCAAGAAATTCCAGTGGCAGAGAATTTGTCATTCGATCAAAAGAAGTTCTTGGGAAAATGGAGGCCTGTCACATGCACATTAATCAGCACTAACGTAAGGAAAACTACGCGGTCCTTTTTCTACGCATTTACCTTCAATTTGTGTGTGACAACGCGTGCGCGTACGCTGCGCAGATAATGGAGGATCGAGGATACATTTGAACGGGTCTACGGTTCTCCAAGTTTGGCAATGGACAAATGGTCCAAAACAGTCTTCCCTATCAATCATTAACAAATCATATCTCTATTATTTCTTTTCCAATTTCAACAAATCTCTTGAGAAAAGAAGACTCTTGTCTTACAAAATGTACAGTGCATGATCAGCGCTCTATCCGTTAATTTGGCTGAAATCCGATCTCGTGTTTTCGCACGGTACCCTTCGGACAAACTGCATGGCTACGGAGGATTCTTATTCCTCCATGCAGACACCCGGACGGGAAAGCTGGAAATTTATTGCAAACAAAATGTGGTGTGATTACAGCCAGCGACTGACACAATTATAGGCATATAGGTTTGCCTTGGCCTAGTGCGTTCGCTACCCGTACACGTATCAACAACGAATTATTTTGAAATTCCAACACCGTTTACCGGTGTCAAAATGAAAATCTACGGTCCCAGCGGCCTTGCCAGCGGCACAAGTACACCCGTGAATTTCCAGCCAGCTTTACATAGCGCGTGTCACACGGTGATGCGATGTGCATGTGAACGATCGAACGATGTTGGTAAACGCAGACATTTCTTACTATGGTTGGCCGTTAGGGCAAACACAAAAGAATGATCCCCGATCTATAAATAAAATGATGTGTAACTATCAAAACACTGAATAATCAATAGAAAGTACCAACAAGTCAATGGAGATATCTTCCTATTAAATTCTGAACTTGCCCATTAGAATTTCGGGGGTAAAAGCTGTTGCCAACTACGGTTGAATTTATGGATCATGTGGCTGCCCATACAAAATGTCGCTCAGTGTAATTGTAAACAAAGTCATGTCGTTGCGCGGAGTGATTTGCAAAAAGTTTCGCTGGAACTACGCTGCATCGGGAGTCCTGTTTATTACGTCACGATTTACTATGTTTTGTTTGCTGCCCCCAACGACGACTTTTACACAAATTGCACGTTCGGGTCGAAACAGGACCTGAAAAACAGCTCTCAAAAGTACCTTTTGTATTCATTTCATGACAGAAACAATAGTTGTTTTTATTTCATCACACCCTAGGCTACATATACCCGAAAAATGACGGAAATGTCTTCGAGCATTCCACAACCTCTTTAAGCTTAATTAACGTAGGTAGAGTACTAAATTGTCAAATAATATTTTAATTCACTTGCATCAGTTATTACTCGGTCTGTTGGCTGCTTTTGAAACGATATAATAATTGTGTCAAGGGGTATGTAAATGCTGGGTTTCCTGTAAGAGTAATATGGTAATAGGTTAAGTTTAAACAACACAGGCACCCATAAAGAAGATAGGAGTAACGTATACTTTTGTTTCAGTTTTAGTTAAGAATAATACCTCATTTTTTTAAATTGAAATCAAACAAGAAACGTATTATAATGAGTTATACTGTGTATAAAAAAATGCAAACAAAATATAACAGAATGCCGGACATAGAATGTGTACCCAACGTAGATAACATAGGTATGGTTTCAAAGATACGCCTTTCCACTTTTAAATGAGACATCAAACGTCCGAATCTGATAATTTGTGACAGAGTTATCAGTAAATTTCCGAGTCAAATTGACCATGGGACCAAGTTTTCAATTTTAGGCATTAAGACATAGGCAGCCTAATTGCCTCCGTGTGTATATTTGCCTGTCCTACAAAAAATGTGTTTATCGAGTAAACACGATTCTAAACAATTTCTTGCTATCACCTCATGCTAAAAATGTTTAGCATGTAAACACGGTTACAAACTGATAGCATGAAAGTGTTTAGAATTGTGTTTACTCGCTAAACTGATTTTTTTGTAGGCCAGGCAATTATCCATACAGAGGCAATTAGGCTACCTTCATCCCAATGCCTAAAATTGAAAACTTGGTCCCATGGTCAATTGACCTCTCTTGGAAAATTACTCATAACTCTGTCAAACACTATCTGATTTGGACGTTTGATGTCTCATTCTAAAGTGGAAAGGCGTATCTTTCACACTGTACCTGTATTATTTATGTTGGTTACACATTCTACGTCTGGCACTCCGTTATATTTTGATGGCATTTTTTTTTATACAAGCGTAGAGTGAATTCCCTCCTTGCGACCAGTATTTTACATATCTCAATTCAAATGTATTTTTGTGGTATGCACATTTTGATTCGTATTTACCTTTTTTTAAAGGAAGCAGAGACAACATTTGTTTTTGATGTTATTTTCCTTTTCATGTTATATCGTTGATCCTACCTTTGTTTCTATAAACGTTTGTTAAATTTTTATTGGAAATGGTTGAAATAATCATAAACAGAAATAGAGAGAAACAAACAGCTCAAGATTGTTCAACCCATGCACTCACGATGAAGATGGAAGTAATACAAAAACATATTGTGGGCTGATATTTAGAGAGATGTTGCATGGTTACGTAACTGGGGGTATTTAAGTGATTCGGTATGCGTAGCGGGCGAGGCGAAGCACCGTTTTCCATAATTACTCATGCCTGAAGTAGACCGTGACACTGATGTGTCACTAGGACCAGATGGTGTACCACCCTGTGTGTATAGTTTGCCCATGGATCCCCATGGCAGAAGTATATTTATAATGGATGATATATAACCATAAACAGTGAGGCTATTAGGTGTTAATATTATCATGTTTAAAAATCGAGGTTATTTTTACCATTTTATGATAAAGCAATTGAAGACTCGATGTCGAAGATATAATTCATGTCAGACATAAACAAAAACCCTGTCAGATTACACATTACATGAGACTACGAAGTTGGTGATTAAAAGGGCATGTGGCCGATCTGGAGATATAGCTGAATACCAAAAAAAAAAATGGTAACAGAAAAATTATATTTGCTTCAAAGAATTTTTGAAAGCTTTCAAATAGTTTCCTTGGTGTTTTCTAAATTAATGTCAGCGTAATATTGCTTGGATTTTAAACGTTAAAGTATTTTTTCCACATTTGTTTTTCTTCAGAAAATAGGTCGTGGCTACGGATGGGTTGTAACCGTCTTAGGTTTTCTAATCGGCGCTATTGAGCTTGGAACTTTCAAAAGTTTCGGCGTCTTTATTTTGCCGATTCGCGAATCGTTGGATTGCTCAATTTCCTCCTTGGGAACTGCAATGGCTGCATCGCACACGACGTGCTATGTTCTAGGTAAGTGACGCTTGGCATGCAATAGGTATCAGTTACTTAATTATACTCAAAACTCCAATAAAGTAGACAGACACCCAAATTTGGTATGTGTTGGTGGGTGTGGGGGTGTGTGTGGGTGTGTGTGTGTTCCTGCATTGCATTACGCTCGAGGACAGACAACAAAAGGAGCACAAAGGGGTCATTCATCCTCGAACGACGGTGCCTATTGTCCTCGAACGCAGGTTTGTGCGCTTAGTCTATGGGAAAGGTTTAGATCAGGGAAACAAAGGAAAACACAAAGCCAATCTTCGGAAGCATAGCAAAAACCGACATAGACGAACGTTTAAACCCAAACTCAAAAAGGACTCAGTAATAATAACCACTACATGTATATGGATAGTGATACCCAAGACCATCACCACACAATCCATCAATAAAGAACGCAACATTGACGCAGTGATAACAATAACCACAATATAGATATGTAGGGTATTTTTGGTTATACTCAGTACGAAAGCTGTTGTCAACTCACCAAGAGATTTGTCCGAGAATTGGGCACGAGTCCACACGCTCGGTCTTCTCGCCGCGGGACGAATATTGACTCTGTCGATCGCGATATTTCTCCTGGCGCGGATGCACGAACCACTGTTCGTATAGAGTTTTTATCCACGAGGATTGTTCAGGACACAAACAGACGATTACTGACTTGACGAAAAACACACGAAGACGATGATAAACGCTGATAAAATACTGCTGAAGATTGGTGCTCAAAAATGTCAAAACGCGATAACTCGTAACTTTTCACCAACCACAGAACACATGGAAAAACCCACACAGAGCACATGTGGACGCACCAGCGAATATATACATGTATGTACAATACAGGGTACCAGTCAAAGATGTTCGCTGGCGTTGATTGGCGAGTTCTTTACATGTGACGCCAATGTTGTTATTTACATTAAGCCGCGTAATGGTTAAAGGGGCAGTCACTACAGATATATGATACCCATGACTTATCCACACAAATGCATCAATGTTCTTTACTCAACAGGAATCGCTCCAGTAAAACCATAGACCATAAAGGTGAACAAATAAGTTTAAGTTATTCAAAAACTTTCTTAGTAAATTACAATCAATTGTTCCAACCGCTGGAACATGCGGCCGGTATAATCCGTGTGGGATGTCACGGGCTATTTGTTACACATGTATGTTTACAATAAGGATAAACTCCCAGGTATGGTAGGGAACACTGTGGCACATCACGGCGCTATATTGTTACATTACAAATGACATCTAGCACATAAAACTTTAGAGGTATATTTACAAGCGAAATGTCCCATCTTGTGGAAGTTAGCAAATCCCATTTCTAAACAAGATTGGCTGTTCGACTTCTTATTTGGCACGAAAAAAACGCCTCCTGAGGAGGAAGGAATTTTTTTTCAAACTAAACTTGCATGTTTGTCTTTTGAATCCGCGACTTTAAATGACAAACACAGCTATTAATACGTATTCCTGCCTACGGATTGGCCTGGCATTTTGGCGGCAGCCCACTATCGATGATTGGCTGCCTAGAACTCCAACGCTGATTGGCTGCCTAGAATCCCGACTGCTGCTGTATAAAGGCGAGATATTCATATTACGTCCGCAATCGTGAGATATAAGACGGCAAGCATGGATATTTGCCCACGCCACCAAACCAATTTGTCCGTTTAGTATAATTGATTTTATCATAAACGTGATAACATATCTGAATTGATTGCCGCTTGCTGTTTTTCATTTCGAAACAGTGTGCTTTACAGAAATGGATTAAATCCATTGTATCATGAATAATTAAGCCTGTTTGTCGTGATTTCAATACTAAGACCAAGCAAACATAGCCGAGTACTACTGATAGCCTGCCACACAAAATGTGTATTACCTAGGAATATGTGGCTACTTTTGCACCTCGGTGATTCTGTAAATTCGGATTTACATTTCAGACAGTTTAATGATCTTCTGTTGGTAGTGTAAGTGTGATACATTACTAATAACATCTAATGAAGAGAAAACAATTACAGGCCAAACTAGTGTACTACCATCTTTCATAGGCGGGGGGTAAGGGGGTATTTACCCCCCCCCCCGCAATATTTTGTAAAGACTGCCTTTTCAAATGCCCTTTTTTTCAACGTGCTTACCCCCAAAAAAAAATTGTAAAAAGTGCCCTTTTTTCTAAGCAAGTGCCCTTTTCAAAAAAGAAGTGGTGCCTTTCTTGTGGCATATGCCGTTTTGGGTGCCTTTTTCAGAATTTCGCTCATGTATCGCCCTGAAAAGCACCATATATTGGCCCTTTGTGTGCATAATTGTCGGTTTTGAACAGCGCCCCCATCGACAGATGGTACCAGCCCCCCCCCCCCTTTTCCGTTTTGTTTTCCTTTTTTTTTCCTTTCCAGGGGAGGGGAAGCGCCTCCCCCCGTCTCCCAACCAGTTCGCGACACCCATGGTGGTCGGACGTACAAAAAGAGCTGGAATTTACGGAATTGCCCACTTGTTAACTGAGAAGGAGTAATTCCGTCAATATTAAATAACTGTCTTTAGAGGAAGATAATTTAGATAATGGAGCAAGTTAGCATAATACTAAATGGCATGGTGATTTGCAGTTATGACGTGCACAAATATTCGTGTTAATTTCTTTTACAAGGTGTTCCATAAAGGTCAGTTCTATTTCGACCAGGTTCGACCCTATATGAAAAATCCCGTAGCGAGTGAATTTTGCATATGAATTTGTTTATCGTTATCAGTTCCGCTGGTGAACATCTTGACCGAAAGGTATGGCTCACGAAGACTCGTCATGCTGGGAGGAATCATCATGTTTCTTGCGTTCCTTGGAATATCGCTGGCGACTAACATTGCTGTGTTTTCACTTCTCATAATGATATGGGGTAAGCGAACTCTCCACAACTATTTTCAAGTAGGCCTAGCTTTTATACGACATGACGTTTAACTCTTACCCGGGTCACTGTCCCATACAGTTGTTAAAATTGACATAAAGCCCCTCTAATTGAACTAATGTAATATTAATCCTATCAGGACTGAGATATTTTGGGTCTTCTCGGGTCCAGGTGGCACATTCCTCCACATCCTCATTTCCATATGCGACGACCGATTTTCTTTAAGTTTGGCAGGAATATTTTTTTCTCCGGTTTTCCGGTGTTTTACAAGAATGCCAGTACGTCATTTGGTTGCGCTTCATTGAACACATGATGACGCTTTGCTGTATATTTTTTTTAATCAAATTGCTTCAATATTTGGTACAAGCATTTTGGGGGCCAATATTCATTCAAATAAACCTTTTTCTTAATTTTGACAACATTTTGAGTTCTTTTAGCTAAAAAAAGAAACTAAAAAAATCTTAAGTACTTATACACTTTTTATACATGAACTGTAAAAAAGAAATAAGGTGACAAAAATTGAAAGCGGCCTTTTACGCCAATGACGGCCATATTGGGTTATCAGCATGCGTTGTACATTGTATAGGGTGACCATGAAGTTAGTCTTCAGTGAGTACTTGAAATGTTCGGGTTTTCACTCACAAAACTGTATGTTTTTATACACAACAAACTAATGTTATGATTAGTCAGGGCGTATCCAGGAAGTTTTTTGCTAGTGGGGTTCATCAGCAAGTCAATGCTGAAATGTAGACATGTTTTTCTTTTCTCTGGACACTTAGCCTCCGTAAAATCAATATGGGGGGGGCGGGGCTCCTGCCATACTTTCAAATGGGGACGATGTTCAAATCCGAAGATCATCATCACTATATATTACAGAATAGTATACAAATACCCTCGTAACCCAGCTGACTCTGACCGAATTTTGTGCACAGGCAGATGTTATTACTGGTATAATTGTCATAACTTTTTTAGGGTGTCAGAGCAGGGGGGGGGGTTCACATTATTTTCAATGTAGTTCAGCGAACCACCCCACCCCCGTAGTGTTTTAAAATCGGTTACCCTGGAAATAATGGAGATCCTACAGACTTTGTTTTGGTACCAAATTGATCCAAGAAATACAAGGTAGGAAAAGTCACCAAATTTCTTGCCGATCGGCTGTAGCTATTAAAAGATGTTTTATAGAAGGCCGAAAAGCCTATTAATGCCATTTGAAATTAATGGATCATATATTCTGTATCCAATCTACATTGCTTGTTTCAAAGATATTGAGTGCACAATCGTAAATGCTACTTTTCGATCAAACTTGTTTTCTTCCCCAGGAATTGGTGTTTCCCTTGCCTACGTCCCTCCCATTGCCGCAGTGATCAAGTATTTTCCAACCAATGCGGCTGTACCAATCAGTATCACTCAAACAGGATGTGCCTTTGGGATGATGATTTATCCCCCGTTGACAGAAGCCTTGATTGAGATATATGGATGGCGTGGAACCATACTCATATTTGCAGCTTTTAATGCAAATATTTGCGTTTTTGGAGCCTTGATCAAGCCGCCGCCACGGCTGTATGAAGCCCTTGCCACTCCACGTCAAGAGATGATACCAGCGCTTTCACAATCTGGTGACAGTAAACTGAACAATGTGATCAACGTCTTTAAGAAAGCTGCGAAGGGCTTCAGTAAGATTGTATCCTTGGATGTATTACTACTGGAACCAATGTTCACCATATATGCTTTTGCGTGTTTTTTACTTGGCATCATGTATAGCGCCTGGATGATTTACCTCGTTCCTCATGCAGTGGTCAGGGGTATTGAGAACCAGCGAGCTTCTCTTCTATCTACGGCAGGAGGAGTTGGTACCCTCGTTGGCAGGATCGTATACGGACCAATATTGCACCGTGGATACATCCAACCGGTTCAAATGTTCATGCTTCTTGCTTGTGGCAATATTGGAGCATTTGTGCTCGATCCAATCGTTTTAGATAACTATCCAGGACTGGTTGGGTTATCTTCCATCAATGGCCTTTGTCTCGGAGTGATGGCCGGTATGTTCATACTTGTGTCCCAGCAAGTCTTGGAGGGGGAAATAGGCGACAGGGCGTGGGGTATATTGAGTGTCACCTTTGCGATTGGGGAATTAGCTGGAGGAGCTTTGGCAGGTACAATTATGACGTTTTTATTTTTCCCTGAGTTTTTTTTTTTCAATTTAGATGAAAACATATTAATATACTTTATGAGTCAAGATGGAGTAAGAGGGCAATTAAAGGTTTGGTATCACTTGGAAACGCACAGTTGTTTCATTGTTACATGTAAAATAACAAAGAACAATCACGAAGGTGCATGCAACTCTAAAAGTCTATTAAGAAAACAACACACAGAGATGTTTAGTTTGTGTCATCACTGCAAACACTATCCTATAAAATAGTTGAATTATACGTTGAACAAAAAAATCAGTCAAACTGTAATAATAGTGCATATGAAAAATTAATAATTTTTTGTGAGCTTTTACCTTTTTTTCCTCTTCTTTCCCCTCAGGTTTCCTATATGATGCCACCGGAAGTTACGAGTTGTCATTTTTGTTTCTTGGAGGTTTATCGGCCGTGATCGTCGCGTCCCTTGCAGTTGAACGTTTACTGGATTGCTGCTGTGGAAACTAATTTATTTCACTACTTTGTGCGTAGATTGATATGATCAGTCCATGGTTGTTTGTAATAAGCACTCTTCGTGCCTGCCGAACTGATTTCAAATCAAAACTGCATTGAAAGACTTTACAGAATGCATTTAAAATCGGTCAGGAAGTTCTCAGCGTCCGTCCACCCTCTTTTGATTTGATATTAAGGAATCGACAAAGCGTTAAGCCCTCTTTTGAATGAGCTGCAGTTACTTCGGCGTTTCCTACTGCCTTGCGTCCATTTGCTTTGTCTTCTGCGGGAATGAGAACAAATGTTAGGAATACCATGCTGGCTGGAGACTTGTTTAGCGACCTTTCAATACTTTGAGTAGGGGAAGAAATTCATACAGAGAAGCCCAAAAATGCTGCGTTGGAAGTGATGCACAGGCTAAGCGAACTTTTTCAGGTTTTGCATTCATATTTAACTAAGTAAGTGTTAAAAAAATGAGTGGACTAATTTAACACGTAATTAAGATTTCAGCTGCGGCAAAGAAATGAACACATAATTGGAGCACATAATGTAGACTTGAAGTTAAGTCCGACGTTACAAGGGCTTTAAATATTTTGTTCAGTTTTATGAACGAAATGCACCTTAATTTTATCAAAGTAATGTTCAGCCTATTGCCATTGCTAAGGGTATTTCAAAGCCTTTTTAATGTTAAAACAAATGTCCATATACATGACCGAATGGTGGCCTGATCAGGCAAAAGCTTATAAAAGTTCAGATCCTTATAGTGGTTCATACTGGATATTCACCCACAACCACTGCATTGGGACTTGTCGTCACACACCAGCCGCTAGGTACATTGGACATGTGCGGAACTGCTACTGCAAAATCAGACACAGAAGGGATCCAGATGGTCAAACATAAGGTGTGTGTAGACAAAGGGTGTTCATTGGCCGGGGTGTAAATTGATAGGGTGTAAATTGACCGGGCGTTAGGGAAGAAACTAACAAAGTTGTAAACGAACGTATAAGAAAGAATTATTAGTGTATATACCTGGTCCAGCTACTCAGAATAATAGTAATTATTACTAAATTTATTATAATTATACGTGTAATGGTACCATTAAGGAGACGTTATCGTAATCTTCGCACGATGGGAGATATCGGTCATTAGGGAGACATTTGCATGTCTCCCTAATGTCACAGCCACCCTTTAGAGGCAACATTTTGGTGTCCAATTAGATTATATTTGTTGTTGCGGGTAGGAAAGCTTAAAAGTTCGTTAGTGACGTCATAAGCGTAGATTTTTCTTGGTCAGCAGAGGGCGCTCTTAGCGCGCCAGCATTGTCACAAATTTTCTTAAGTTTGTAGAATTCCGTCAAAAGGTTCCTTTGATTTTTGCATTACATTTGAAACGCCCAGTGTTGTGAGTACTTATAATTGTTTAGAAATTGAGATAAAGGGTTATAGATTAGTTTGTATAAAGAGGGTAAGAATAACGGTCGTTAGATATAGTAATTTTGGGTCAACTTTTGAGGATAAATTTGGGGAAAAAACAGCGATACATGTTTTATACACGTTTATTGGATGCACGTGACATGATCTCACGTCAGTTTCATCAGTTTGTATGGATTAATGTCACCCAGGTTAAATTTTGGAGACTTGAATATTAATTTTAATGTGAACATGGATGTACTAGGGTACATATATTGAGGCATAGGTTTATATAGACACAAATTGTAGTTATTTTCCATGAGGAAAAAATTCACACTAGACACAATTTCATGAGTTTGGGGATCAAATCAGTCAGTTTGCTTCAAATCAGTCAGTTTGATTCAGTGATTGTGTATGTGCAGGTACATTTTGACATAATTCAGAGACTTATTATATTTTTTGGTTTTATATTAATTGCAGATTGAACGAAACTTCTACATACCCGTCGCAGATTTTGCTACACATTTTCTATTGGTACAATACAAGGGAAAAGAGTTTTTAAATCGTCATCAAAGGGGTCCCTTTTTGTTGTCATCCGTCACATTTGTTGCTCGTGGTCTAATTAGTAAACATACCGAAATTCGTGGAAAAAGGACAAGGGAATATTGGGGTAGGGCACATTTAAGTTTGAAAATGATGTTGTGCACAAGTCTATGGGGATGTCTCCCAAATATCCAATCCAGGGTGATTAATATTATTATTATTATTATAAATTTTTGACAAAGTCATGGGTTGTGGAAAGACCTTACTGCCCATCTTAAACCATTTACCGTATAAAATAAGATGAAAACTTAAAAGTAATCAGTTAAAGATAAAAACTTAATGCAATCATGTAAACTGTAAAACAAAAAGGACAATATTTGAAATTTATCGTATAAAAATCTTCAAAAAAAAAAGTAAAATTAACATGAATATATAGCATCATGAAAGCATCAGAGTGAAAACCGATCACAACTGTCGGCTCGAAAGGTTAATGTGGGACAATACTATGGCTCTTTCTTAAATGATTACAAAGTGGTTAAGAGCTGGGTTGTTTCTGTTTCGGTTGCAGGGCTGGATTACCCAATAGGCCCGCATGCATGCGCTATGTCGCGGCATTGGGTTTTCAGTGGGCGGAACCTAGAGTGAGGGGGACAACATCATTCAAAGGGGTCACCAAGGGCATATCTGCAACAAATGCTCACAAATCTTCAGGGGACCGAAACGCCACCGGCCGATTAAAACAATTTCGAGGAAAAAATAGGGGGTGACGGTGATGGGGGTTTGGGAGGAGCTGGAACTCAATCAATGCCTTGAGGGCGCTCTATAATCAGGGCATGCACATACAAGCCGCCTGCGAATTTCTTTTCCGTAGGTGGGTTGCTCTAAAGTCATGAATAATTCAATAGTTTCAATAGGGCCAGTTTGTTTATTCAAGAAACAGAACAATGATATCAAGAGCATTGTTGTTATTTAGTCATTAATTCATTTGAGGGTTGGTCTTCTTTGGGTACGAATTTCTCAAAAAAGTCATTCGGTCAATCGTCAACCCACCACAAAAAGAACGAAAAATGACAGACGACTTGTTGTTCATCACTTTTTTCTGTGCAGCCTGAACACCTGTGGGAGTTTTGAGTACTTTTTAAAGAAATTTGAAGTATGGGGATTTATTACTCGTGTCTATTGGAATGTACTTACTTGGTTGCATCCTGTGCACCCTTGGTGATAGTGGAGGGGAGGGGGAGGGGCTTAGACTCAACACCATGGGGCGCTCTTAGTTTAATGCTGCCAAGACAAGGCGAAACCAGCTGCCCAAGTTCAGACCTGATATCGACCACCTCGCATTTTGTGGGCCATGAACTTGAGGGTTTGTTATGAAGAAGGGTGGAAGCCGTGATCAGTAATGCAACATTTGTAGTACTGTACATCAGTACTAGTACTGTACATCAGTACTGCAGTATTTGTGTGAAATGTAGAAGAAACTAGGCCCTAATGTTGCTCTATTTCGCAAAGGAACGTGGGCATATTTTTTTTGCAAAATGGGGATGGGCTACAGGACTACTTTTAAGTAGAGGGGATTGCCTTTGGATGGAATTTTCGTAATCTAGAGAAGTGGCGGTATTTATTATTGAGGGGAAATGGTCTGCAACGCGTAAGGCTATGTATCATCACGAAATCGAAGAGTAAGCTTGAACCACACTGATACACGTAGTAAGATTTCTACACGGATTTCTTATTAAGAGGAGGAAGGAAAGTGGGGATCCTCTAGTATTTAAAGTAGGATCTTTGTGAATTTTGTGCATTTTGTTATCGTTGGCAGCAATAAAATTTCTCAAAATCTGAATAAGGGTGCGTGACAACAATCCCGATGAAGTTTGAGCACAGTAGATACTAAACCTCGCGAGAAAACAGGTTAATGGGATACTAGACGTATTCCGTCATAAGCATTTCCAATTCAAAAAAAACATGTTGCTTTTTATTTTCAATCGCACCCTATGGATGCACCCCTGTATTAATATTCCCATAGATACCAGTGCTAAATTACGAAAGCCCGTTAGTGCCAACGTTCTTTTTTTTTTTGGGGGGGGGGGGAAGTTTGTTTGTTTGTTTTTTGGAAATTGTTTTTTTTTTTTTTACACTACGAAACGAAGGTTTGGTACGCGGGCATTGCCGTACTTCATGTCCATAATAAACAAGAACGATTTCAGGGCATTTTTTTTATTATTTTTCTTTTGATTTTTTTTTTTTGGAATGTTTTGGTTTTTTTTGTAATTTTTTTTTTTTGGGGGGGGGGCGGGGTTTGGGGGGATTTTTTTTTACCTACCTGCCGTCAGCGGCGCCCTTCCCCTGAGTAGTCTGGTTCCAGATTCATCAGGAGGAGTCAGAATCTTTTGATCTGGGAACCAGACTACTCAGGGGAAAGGCGCCGCTGACAGCAAGTACGTAAAAAAAAATTAAAATATTAAAAATTTCCCCCCCAAAAAACTTCCTCCCCCCAAAAAATGTTGGCACTAACGGGCTTTCGTACTAAATGCCTATAATTTAAAATTCGTGTTTAATGGACTCAAAACTCTCACATGCATTTAAGCTACACAGAAAAATGATGATCAACATGCCTTCTTTAACCTTCCTTTCAGTTTTTGGTGGGTTGACCATTGACTTTTCGAGAATTTCTCACCCAAAAAAGACACCTATTTTTCCCAAAACGGAAAGTAGCCATCTTGAAAAACGATCCCTTTACAACATGGCAAATAGCGGCAATTTCGAGCCCAACTGCATCCAAAATGCTCAGATTTGGAAGCCCCAAGTCTGGCCCAGATTGCGATATCTCTTCCGTTCCCCAATTTTGTGGCTCTCAGAACTCTCTAAAATAGAATATTTTGAAAGTAAAACTTTTATTCATGAGCTCGGCGGATGGGTTTAAGCATATTTACAGGTGTGCAACTCTATATCGTGTCCAGTCACTTATCAGCATTCTGAACATGATTGTCATTCAGCGGTGTTTGTATGCAACGCCGAGGTCCCAGTGATACTCCTTGCAGTATATGTATTTAACAAAAATCGTGTGGTCGTGGGCACACTTTGTGAAGTTTACCGTAACCCATTGAGGCTTTGACAACGCATTGTGCTATTGTTTTTTTTTCTTTCTGGACGTATTAAGAGCTTAAATAATATATATCTGGCTGAATATTATTATCAACGAAACTGCATACTTATGATTAATCTAAACATTTCACGAATATCTTTATAACTTTACCATAAGGCTTGATACAAAACTGAATATAACATACGCCTAAAGCTTAAACGTGTATAAAAAAAGAGTTCAAACAAGTACACTATTATTGAACAAAGCATATCCCCTTTAAATTTTAAACAAGATTTAAATCGTAACTAATACAACTAATATGTTAGTATAATGTCTGCTGCTTCACATACAGAGTTATCAATGTTGAAACATTCGAGCCACAATGGAGTCTATTTATTGGAGGCTACTTATTTACAATTCCATGAAAGAGTACAATAAGTTCATGTGTTTGTGCAAATCCACAAGCGAGAAAAATCTTAAAATACAGACTCATCGTTTCTAGGAGAAGTATGAATGGCTTGGGCGAACACAACACGGTGATACTACGACCAACAATTCAAGAATCAAGGTATTAACTCTACCAAATACTCTTTTTTTTTTTACCAAAGACGGGCGGACAAACTTGAACGTGAGTTCCCGCAATATATCCCTCTAGAAATTTCTGATTGAATATTTTTTTTAAAATTGAAATCTATTAGCTTTTTTTTTTTATATAATCGATCAATCAATTATTTTTTTTAATAATTGAAATGGTAGGATATGACTTGTATCATATTGATGTCAGGGCACTAAACCGATTGTTCCCCCCATCAGTGCGCAGGGGAAACTTTCAAATGCAGGGTATTTAAATTGTTGCCATGTCCTTTTCTTGTAACGTGAGTTACCGATAAAAAAAAAAGTATTGCTAAACCAACAGGATGTTATTTTGATTGCCGTATTGGTAGCTTAGTCACTTAATTGCAAGGGACTTCTGTGAGAAAAACCTACCCTTAATGCTTTGACTTTATAAAATAATAGCACAGAGTAAACGGGAAACCCAATCCAAATGAAACGTGAATTATCATGGAATTGCCCACATCGAATTCCAAGGAGTGAAACTAGGGAATAGATTCAGAGTGAAAACCGATCAAAGATTGAAATATAGGCCTATGTAGTTTGAAAAGGAGTCACTTCTGTCATAACTCGATCTTTTCGAAGGCTTACATTTCACGATTTTAGATCGCGATTTTTTTATCATAAGCATAATGTAATTTTTTCTAAGTGTATTCCGTCGTCTGAAGTCCTCCTACCCTAGGTGTATATATTTTGACAATGAACCTCTTATTTGAAATGTCTCTGAATTTAAGTAATACAACTGAAAATATGTCTGTGTAAACAAGTGCAAATGTTTTACCTTAAATTTTAATATTCATTAAACTATTATGGATTTAATTCACCGGGGAAAAAGTGGCTCGTGAACTATAATTCAGAGAAGCTGCTTAAGACCAATCTGCATGAACACGGATAATAATGGATGACAGACAATTCAATCAGTACCAATAGCCGATTACAATATTTACACCATGGATGACCTTATTTGTTTGAGAGAATCATTTGGTTCAAGAATGAAATAAACACTACGAATGAACATCAAATCCTGACTTTATGCCGAAGTATAAATGACTGCCCACTATAAAACGTATTTCTGTCGTAGCAGCTCGGGCCGCAGCTACTAACTTAATGCCGATACAAACTACAATAGGTTTCTTACTACATTTATGGATCGAAAGGAAGAAAAACTAAAAACATTTGGACAGGTTGCCCTAGCCCTCTCATCATCACTCACGTGAACACACTTTGCTAACGTGACGGTATCTGGCTTAATTGTCGTCGAGCTCCAATCGAACCACGTTTTCATATGTTTTTGGATCCACGGCCATGTAGGTCTGGGTAAAAGCGAAATATGAAAATGTGTTAATGATATGATATCATATACATGTATCATAAAAGTCATCGGTATCAGTAGTGGGTCGTGGGGGAGTGGGTTGACTCCCCTCCCCCTCGAGGTCGCAAAAAGGGGAAAGGGAGGAGACAAAAAAATACCCGGGGGTAAAGGATATCAGGTTCCTCGATCGATTAGAGATAATCCACATGGTTAAAGAGGTAGGATAATGTATGCTTTTAAAACACAAGAAGTGTGCAAAACTGAATGAAGAAATGCATAACACCTTGTGCTTCATTTAACGTCAACACTCGCTGTTTCTGATGAAAACTACTTTTGTGAATTAACTTTGAACTCACATGTTCTAGTTTATTTGCATCCATCTTACTCAAGATGGATACCAGGTCAGTAAACGTAGGTCTTTTGTTCGGATCATCGTTCCAGCACAGGATCATCATGTTGTATCTGTATGATAAAAGAATAAAAAAACAACAAATGAATTAATTCTAAACATGTTTTATGTTAGGGGCACCCTATTTTATAACCATGTCATTTGTCGACAGGAAGAGTTCAAACCTCCAATCACTGGGTATATGTAACGAAAAAAAGATGAATAGAAATAATGACATCAGTGGACGAATTGACGTTGTTGCCTTTGGGAGAAATAGGAATGTTTTGAATGGCTTCAAAATGCTTCTAAATGGTAATAAAATGATTATTTCGATACTCAATGGAGGCTTGATCTGCCTTGTTAGATTTGATTAAATATTTTCCCACTTGCAATACAATTTTCAGTTGTAGTCTTTAAACACGTTTATTCCGGTGTTCCCTTTTGTATTATGAAAATAATTTTCAAGAAGATGGGTTCTCCCATTGTGACACCATTATAACACTCACCCACAGATTCTGTATTCATTGGCCGAGAGCGAATCACATGATATTCGTTTTTTTTGCTATCTTGCTGCTTAGCCAAAATAAAAAGACTGTATGAATGGCAACCAAAGTACTATACGCATAACGACCCAAGTACCATACGCATAGCAACCGGTTTTTTTTTTAAACATACATACGGGTGTACGCGTTGCGCGTAGCGCATAATGTTCCCAAAGCGCAGCTAGCGCTACAGAGCTGGGTTCAAACATTTCGTGAAAGGGTGGTTTTTTAAAAAGTTCAGGTAAATTTGCAAGTAATTTCGTAATGAAAAGGAAATACATTTTAATTGTATTCATATTAAATTAAACAGTTATCTCTTAAAATCAAGCAGAATGTGTGGGTGAGGTGTTATAAAACAAATATTGACTGATTTAACTTGTAGTATAAAAAAAACTAGCCCCTCTCGGTGATCCATGGAGCATTCTATTTTCCCTCGGCTTCCCCCTCGAAAAAAAAAGAATGCTCCATGGATCACCTCGGGAGGCTAGTTTTACTATACCAGTCGAAGCAGTCAATATGTGTATATTACTCGAAGAGATGCTGAGCAAGTGCAGTACAAACACTTGTCATTTAATGTCCTCAGTCATAATGTGCAGTGAACTGATATGGCGAAATAAAAAAATAATTCAACAGCATTACATTTCATCGTCACAGTTTCTTGGTTTAGACATGCGATATCCTTCCTTCAACAGGTCTGCTAAAAATCGTGCATTCTTGACATCTGGATACGGGGTTCCACCTTCAGACAGATGAAACAAACGTCACATTATGCGATTAATCCCTGTTACTTAAACAACGAACTGACTTTCTTAGTTACGCAGATATGTAATGGCATTTGGCACACAGTCGCATATTTGTCCTTTGACAAAATATATATAAAATAACAAGCAATGGCAGCCATTTTCAAAAAGTGATGAACATTGATGAACAATGATGAACAAATCTGCGATGGCCCTACAGCCAATTATCTCTCTCATGACTGTGTGCCAAACACGATGCTTGTATCATCAAAGGCACAACTCTCCCAAATGTTTCCCCTATCTTGACCACTTTATATACTGGTACGTCTCTATTGTATTGTTATTGATTGTTCACATATAACTCATTTACCAATGGCATCTCCACTGGAGCAATTGCGGGTTTCATCCTTCAAGAGAAAACGAATGGAAAAGACTACACAGCTTCACCTAGTCGGCTAGACGATTTTTTTTTAAATATAGGATATTTCAAACTCAGTGACTTCTTAGTCAATCAAGTATTGACTTATAGTTCTTAGTCGTAGAACGGTTGGCTGGCCACTTGTATTCAGTACAAAAAGGGAAGAAAGAGAAACCACCTAAGCCACTCGTTACAATGACTTCTTTTTTAATGTAGGCCTATATTTCAGCATGGTTTGAAACTATCAAGTGATGAATTCTAAAGCAACAAAGCGTTGTAGCCGCTATAGATCGATATTTAGATTGAATTGAAAAAAGGAACTTACCGAGGGTTGCTATTTCCCATAACAGGATCCCAAACGACCACCTGTGGAAGATTTTAAAATTGGTCTTTCAGTTTAGGTCCTAGTAACTGTTAAATCCGTGGGCTATTTTCACAAATTCTCTTTTCAAATGAATTAAAGTTAAATATATTGAAAGACCCGAAAACACTGGGCAAGATTATTGCAAGAAAAAAATTCCCATGTCATCACAAACGAATCTATCGAACCTTCAAACAGTCCATGCGCAATTCCTTTAACATTCCCTTACAACCACGCCATGTCGCCCTCTACAGATTTCACCACAATTTTCAACCCATGTCTCTCAGACGAATAGGGGTAAAAAAAAAGTGTGCATGGCTCGATTGTGGCATAACCGATAATAACTTACACATCGCTCTGAGTAGTGTAGGTCTGGTGTCTTAAAGATTCCATTGCCAGCCAGCGGGTAGGAACACGTCTCTAGGAGTATATTCAACAAAAACAACAAAGCTGTTTACAGGAAGGTTTCGAAAGTATCCATCAGGCCCCCCCCCCGCCCCCAACCCAGACAGCTGTGTAAACACCAGCAATCGTGGACCCCCCCCCCCCCCCCCCCCATTGTCCCTAATCCTTATTCCTTTGTTTGTACTCAAGCTTTTTAGCAACAGTTCTCATTGGTTTTGTACACGATTTTCAATGGTGGACGTTCGGTCAATCGTGGACGTATAGTTTGTGCCCTAATCCTTTTGTCCTAGGTCTACGATTGCCGGTGTTTACATACTCAACCCAACACACGTACCAGTACATACAACTCTTGTTTTACTATACTCTTGAGGACAATGCTCTGTGTTTCCCTTTGTCGCTGTTACATAACACTCTCCACTATGTACACAGACTTACTACAGAGGACCGTTTGCAACAACAGACCCAACTCCCGAGGACTGAAAGGATCTGTTGTTCTTCCTTCTCGTGTCGGTCCTCGGGGGGTTATGTAGAACACATACTAGCATGTCCTTCTTAGAAAGTTCATACATACAAATCATGCTTTGTATGCAAAGGACCGTCGGCCATTATTCGTGATAACTTATAACAGGACCAATCATTCGAATGGTTCCCCACAATGGTTACAATCCCGCAACTTGCCGAACGGCGCAATATACTAACACAAAAATGATTCATATATAAAGGAAACTCACAGTTGACGTCTGAACATAGATATCCTCTCCACGCGACAGGCCAAAATCGGAAACCTTTGCGATTAATCCTTCCCCAAGCAGAACATTTCTCGCTGCTAAATCGCGATGTATAACCTGTATCGGTACAAAAGCATGAATGAATTCGATCGCAGAAGTTCCAAATGTCATTATTATGTTTTCATCTAAGACCATGAAAGGACGCGCAGGCCTACCCCTGATTCAGCGAGGTGTTTCATTCCCTTGGCAACATCCACAGCAAATGTGACAAGCTGGTCTGACGTCAATGCAGCCTTAGAGTTGGACGTCGAAAAATTCGCTCTCAGATAGCTTTGCAGATCACCGTTTGGAAGATACTCTAGAGCGACGTACAGGACGTCTGAGATAAAAGCAAATAAATTTGTCAATCAGTGTTTCCAAACAATAGTGATGATGGAAATCCCTGGATTAGAAATTTGAGGGTAGAAAACATTTCAGGGAAATGTTTCCAGTATTCTTTTAACAATAATTTAATTTCGAATAATGTCACAGTCTGGGTTTCTGGGTTCTAGATATTATCTAGGAATCAATTTACTTTCAGGAAAATTTGGGCAAATTGTCAGGCATAAGTTCACAAAAAAAGCTGCAGTTATGGTCAATACTTTTCGCTAGTTTTTTATAAAGTAAGCCTAAATTTCGTGGATATTTTCAGATTACCGTCATGCTGACAAGCACCGAGCAGTGAGACCACATTTTCATGGTGGCCGATGGAGGACATGGTACGGAATTCGTCCATAAAGTCGGCACGTTCACTAGCTGAGGCTTGTCCTGAAACAAGTACAAATAATTATGTCATCATTGTCATCATCAAAAGGTATTACTTACAATATTTGTAAATAATCAGTAAGAGACGTGTCTTTTTTATTTTTGGAACATCAGTGCACATTTCCTACTGCAAAAACGCAACCAAATATAAATCATGTGTCAGGTGGCGTCATGCCGACAAGCAACCGTTGGGCACTCCAAACATTATTGCAAGCATCTTTTGCATGTTATTTCGCACACATTAAATAGTATATGTAAACACTTTCAAACCATTGCTACAGGGTGAGTCCAACAAAAAGCGGAACACAAACCCCAAAAATAATATTGCATATTAAATTAAAAAAAATATGTAGCACGAAAAATAAAAATTACTGGAAAGCCAATTTCATACGCTACTTTATAGATGAAAAAAAAATACTGTAATTGCTCAATCCGTTCAAAGAATATATACGTATATCACCATTATATGTATATCACCATTTATACGCAATGACTGTAAAACCTGTTTCGTCCAAAAAACAAAAATTTATTATGTATTCTGATAGTTTGGAACAACAAAGAAAATGACACAGAATACTTTTTTTCAACAACTGTCAACAACTGTAGTACACAATATCTTTATTGAAAACCCTGGTTAGGCAAACAGTGTTATTTATAAAATCCACTTTTTTAAGACGGGCCTTCAAAAGGACTTTGTTGAATATTTTTAACTTTTCAACTGAGGTTTTATCGCTGATGGTGTTTGAAGACAATTGTGACGACGATTCTTGAAATCGCATTATTGGACGAAAGAGGTTTTACGGTCATTGTGTTTAAATGGTAATTTCAGTATTTTGTTTTCATCTAAAAGTATCATTATAAAGTTGGCTTCCATTTATTATTATTTTTGGTGCCACATATGTTTTAAAATAATATAATATAATTTCGGGGGTTTGGGTTCCGCTCTTCTTTACTCACCCTGTATTTCAAGAGATATACATGCAGTGCCGAAGAGAACCATTTGCGGTAAAAGATGGCATGGCGTGACCAGAACATTAAATGTTATCAACATAATTATGCCACTTTGTCTATACCACATCTCGTATGAAAGATCGAAATTTACATTTAAAAGGAGCACACAAAAAAAGGCAGCCGATCCTTATGATTTGATAATTCAGTGTAATTTTCGTGATACGCGAATGAATTCTGTCTATATTTATGTATGAAGGAATCACAATTCTGACCACGGCCCGGGCTATGCACGTTGATCTTAATAACACAGAAACAATGTGAAGAAGTGTGGTTCATTTTACCTTTGAGTATCTTGATAGCAGATCGGGTCTTCTTCCCACCAACAAGCACAGTACCCAATCGGACCTCTCCAAAGTTACCACTGCCAAGGACGTGATCATCAACACCTAGATTGCTCCACAGGATTTCCCACATACCGGCCCAGGATGGGAGGCCGACATCCTCATAAACAGTAGATGTTTGACCCTCTGGGGTGATCTTGTCTTCATAAACAGTGGTTAAATTCTGTTGAAAGGAGAATATAACTACGTCGATTATTTGCAGAGATGCAGTCGAAGATGTCGGTGTTAAAGGGAATATACAACATTTGCAAACATCGAAAAATAAAACCACCAAGTTTTTAAGAAATACCTTATTAGGATGTTGGTAAATGAGAGTCTAAAGCATCCTGTACAATTATGGCACCTGGTGTGAAGTCAATTTTCAAGAAAATGGTATTTTTGTATACATTTCCAACGGTGGTCGGCCGACCACCGTTGGAAAAACCTAACTATATTTCAACTACTGCTCCAAATTTACCTTTTTTCAGTCCAAATTTTCTTTGGTATTAGTTACATGTTCATGAACGGGTGCAGGCCAGCTAGACTGGTTCCCTTACCTTACAATTTTCTGGCAACTATAAATTGATCCATTTCATCTTTAGTGGAGTCAGGGAACCAGACTACTTGAACAATTTTGTTTTTCCTGGTTTTTCCAGCATTTTTGAACATAAAACTTCAAACATGTCAGTGTAACAATAATTGATATATTTACTAACCCCTCAAATACTCCATTTCTGAAAATTACAGCAAAAGCCAATGATGTACATTCCCTTTAAACTTTCCGTCTTTTGAAGCGGACAGCATATTTTTACATTTCTTTAACACACTTCCTTTCGCACAACAGCAGAATTTAGGCAAAAGAGGGAAATAACCTCGTCGTATGTTTTGATATTACTGTCATCAAAATAACTATAACAATATCCTGGGGATTACAACTTTCCTTGAACCTGTTAAACCACTAAACCAAACGTAAAGAGTGTAATAACCCTTTTCTTTAAAAAAAAAATGCGCCCAGCAAAAACGAACATATATTTTCGAATAATAGCCTCACTTTTTTTCTTTTACCAGCAACTGCTTCCTTGTGAACAAAATATATTTCAATCCACAGAGTTTTATATCATACACCAGCAGCGTAGCCAGGATTCTCATCCTGGGGGAGGGGGCGAGTAGGGGCTGGATGTTACAGGGGGTTTTTTTTTGGGGGGGGACGCACAAAATGACATCCGTGTTGAAGAGGTAGACAGGTTTTTTTTTACACCGGACACCTGGCCTCCGTAAAATCAAAGGGGGGAGAGACACCATCATCCCGGGGGGACGCTATTCAAAGCCGACATCATCGTCATTGTCAGACAAAAATTGGCGCTATTCTATTTCCAAGGGACGCTTAAATTAACAGTTAATCGCGAAAAAAACAGGGTTTTCCTGAAAACGGCCGACTGCTCCCCCCCCCCCCGCCCCCTTAGCTACGCCGCTGTCATACACACCTTCTAAAATTTAAAACTGCATTTAAAACTACCTAAAACCTTGAATCTTATCTAAACGTCGCAGGATTTCGGAGTCTCAATCAAAATAATCTAATATTTATATGCCCTATGACAAAGAATGTGGGGGGGGGGATTTATCAGACGTACCATTTCAATATCTGACGAGTTCACACCCTCAGCATTCTGTGTTCTCAGTTGAATCCTTGCCTTGACGTAACGCACAATGAAAACTGTGACCACAAGGACTAACAGCGTGCTGAGAACACTAATCACTGCAATAATAGCAGTGTTATTTCCAGTATCCGCATCTGATATGCAAATGAGAACAATTGGAGTGAGGACTGTATTAAACAGGTCCAGATCGACATAAGTAGTTGAGACCGTTATTATAAGAACACACTTTCCATTTACCTTGAACTATGACAGTAAATCTGCACGTTCCTTCGTTTCCAGATGAATCTCTGGCTGTGCATGTCACTATCGTTACCCCCTCTGCGTAAACACCACCTGATACCACTAATGCATTGCCCTCGTCTCTACACACGACAGTGTCGATAATTCCGTCAACATTATCGCTACCAGACGGTAGATCTGGTGACCATTCAACTCTAGCACTGCTTACTCCAGCATCAAGAGTTACTTCAGCATTTGATGGGCAGATGAGAATTGGAGACACGTTATCTGGCAACAAAAGTAAAATAACAAACCATTGTCATGAAGTGGTGGTCGAGTAGCGACTGGAAACCTCAAATCATACCAAAGAATTGATGTACTGGCTATGCATGTACAGGAAAGGTTTCTGTTTTTAATTACCGAACAATATACCTTAAGCTGTCAAAGTGAATTGGCATATGCCTTCATTTGAGACAGGATCTGCTGCAGCTGTAAAAAAAATCATGTCACAGACTTTAATGCCGACTCCAAATCTGTCAACTGACATAGTACGTGAAGGTCTGATTAATGAATTAGAAATTTACCAGCATCCTCGCTAGGCTCGGTTAATATTGTAGTGGCTTGTAGCTCTGCTGTGGTCGGTAACCCTGGAGTTGTTGGTCGTTTCGCGGTGGTTGAAAGCTCCGTGGTCGTTAGCCCCGTGGTGGTTGGTAGCCACCACCACAACCTCGTTGTGGTCGGTAGCTCCGTGGTGGTTGGTAGCTCCGTGGTGGTTGGTAGCTCCGTGGTGGTTGGTAGCCCCGTGGTGGTTGGTAGCCCCGTGGTGGTTTGTAGCCACCACCACAACCTCTTGGTGGTCGGTAGCTCCGTAGTGGTTGGTAGCTCCGTGGTGGTTGGTAGCTCCGTGGTACAGTCACACCACCACCACGGGTCGATCGGTAACTCTGCGGTGGTTGATAGACAGTCACACCACCACTCAAAAAGCGTGGTGGTTGGTAGCTCCGTGGAGGTTGGTAGCTCCGTGGTGGTTGGTAGCTTCGTGGTGGTTGGTAGCTCCGTGGTGGTTGGTAGCTCCGTGGTGTCGGGTAGATCCGTGGTGGTTGGTAGCTCCGTGGTGGTTGGTAGATCCGTGGTGGTTGGTAGCTCCGTGGTGGTTGGTAGCTCCGTTGTGGTTGGTAGCTCCGTGGTGGTTGGTAGCTCCGTGGTGGTTGGTAGCTCCGTGGTGGTTGGTAGCTCCGTGGTGGTTGATAGCTCCGTGGTACAGTCACACCACCACCACGGGTCGATCGGTAACTCTGCGGTGGTTGATAGACAGTCACACCACCACTCAAAAAGCGTGGTGGTTGGTAGCTCCGTGGAGGTTGGTAGCTCCGTGGTGGTTGGTAGCTTCGTGGTGGTTGGTAGCTCCGTGGTGGTTGGTAGCTCCGTGGTGTCGGGTAGATCCGTGGTGGTTGGTAGCTCCGTGGTGGTTGGTAGATCCGTGGTGGTTGGTAGCTCCGTGGTGGTTGGTAGCTCCGTGGTGGTTGGTAGCTCCGTGGTGGTTGGTAGCTCCGTGGTGGTTGGTAGCTCCGTGGTGGTTGGTAGCTCCGTGGTGGTTGATAGCTCCGTGGTGGTTGGTAGCTCCGTGGTGGTTGGTAGCCCCATGGTTGTCTGTGGCCCTGTGGTGATTGGTAGCTCCGTGGTGGTTGGTAGCCCTGTAGTTGTTGCTAATTCTGTAGTTGGTGCTAGTTCTGTAAAATATGTTTGTTTGATTGTTTGTTTTTCGAAATATCTATGTATTTTCAATGGAATCCTTGGAAATATAACGGACTACATTTGTAATGATTTGTCTTTTTTTTATTACGCTTTAGGCTAAAGAAAACGGTGTGTTGTTGACGGTAACCCAACCTACCTGAATTTGGGAGGCCAGATTGCCGACTTCAAACTTTTTATTGCCATATTTGACCAACAATTTAAAATATAACATACATTCTAAATTATAAAGTTTCCCTAAGAGTTATTGTGTGTGTTACTTTAGTAAATAAGCAAGTTAATAAAAAAAAATGTTAAAGGAACCCCAAAGGAAATGCAATAGTACAAAGGACCGACAAACATGCATAAACAAATAAAATATTCTAATATATATTTTTCCGTACCTATCTATCCGAATAATGTTTAAGGCGTTACCGTCAACACAATTTTTCCTCGACTTTACTGAGTGAATGCGCAAACAGAAAAGGATCTACAAACACATTTTGTCTGTTTTGGTTTGTTTAGTTTTGATAGGTTTGGGGGTCGGAGGGGGGGTTACACCAAAAGGATTTAAAGTGTAAACACAAATGTCAACACAAAACTATTGTAGGTATTCCTATGTTTCAGTGAACGGGAAATATACGCTTACGGGAATCATTACTTTTTATTCATAATCTGGGCCGGATGACGTTATTAGGAGGCCACCGGACCACGAAATGTGGAAGGCCCCAGGAAACAAATCCCAAATGTTTTAATTGAATCACAAAATATATCTCTAAGCTCTCATTGGTCAAAGCTGAAAAAACCCCAATAATTATAAGTCTACTGGCATAATACAGCATCATGATTGTGATCCTTAATAATAACTTCACGGCGCAATTAAAAGAGTTCACGGTATGCACACTTCAAAATAAAATCTAGAAATCGAGTCGAAATTTAATTTATCTTATTATTTGTAACGGGTCAGTAAATAGAAAAGTCCGGTAAATTGACGGTTTGACCTAGAACAAATTGCAATAGAAATAATTCAAGCACCAATCAACTTCAAATAATTCCAGAAACAACATGTGAAAAATCTATTTTTTTTCTATGGAGTGGAAAGGTGTTTTTTTCAAGCACCTTTTGTGGATTAATTAACAGCTAATTCCGGTAAGTTTGAAAAGTATAATTTCACGTGATAAAGTGTTTATTTTTTGCCGTCAAACGTGAATATTAAGATTTTACCGAGATTATTGGGTTCATATTTAGGCTTTTCACAGAATGAAAGTGAAGTACACCAGCAGTGATGGAAAAGTGTGGGATTTTTGTAGGCAATACTTTTTAAAGACTGCCTTTTCCATTCAAATGCCCTTTTTTCCCCAGCTGTTTACCCCCCCCCCCCAATATTTGTTAATAGTGTCCTTCTTGTGTTAACATGTGCCCTTTTTGTTTAACAAGTGCCCTTTTAAAAAAAAATAAGTTGAGCCCGGTTTGGTTCCATCGGCCGGTACGTGTCCCTTTTCTTTACATTTCGCGCATGTATCGCCTTGGAAAGCACCTTATATTGCCCGTAAGTGTATAATCGTGGGTTTTGAACAGGAGCAAACTTTGTAGATTATTCCTTGTATTTTGTTCACTTTTTTGCTCAGTAACAAAAAATGGGAACAAATAATGAAATTGCAAGTTTATCCAAGCCCGTTACCTTACCTGAGACTGGGGGGCTCAAAGTGGAACAGCGACTGGAACAAAATGTAAGTAACAAAATGTCCAAAGCTGGGTTTATTTAATTACTATTTCACTATTGAAAAATGGAAATCAATTATTTGTTTACATTGCCTATTAATTTGTCTGTTAAATTCCTTTTGTCAGTCCTGAGTACAGCAAACGTTTCACTGCTCGATTTCTATGATTTAATCCAATTATATTTATCTTCATTTCGACTTTTTAGGTTTTACAAATTTCCAAAAAAAATATGTCATGTCAAGTTATGTCATTGTGCCAATGACCATGATTTCTCGTTGAATTCTGGATTTCCGATGTATCCCCCTCCAAAAAGGGGGTATAGCAAATAAGTACAAATGGTCTGATGCAAGGATTTCCCCTGAAAGAATGACTAACTGAGTTGAAATTCTGGTCAAAGTTTAGTCAACTGGTGGATAATAATTCAGCTAGTACAAAAAATCCATTTTTATTAAAACAAATCACAATACCTAACAGTTTTGTGCGGTAACTTCGCGGCAAGGTAAAATACTAAAGATTTCAGTAATATATCGACAAGAAAAAGCCATTTGTTGTGATCAGATCACATCCTGCGTGATGTCAAAGGATGTGCTGACGGGCAACAGAAGCTCAGCATAAAACATGTCAACGTCCTAATTACGCGTTAAGCGGTCATTCAAAATTTTCGATGTTTTTAAATTCCGATTGTTTTTTTCCTAATTGTTTTGACCCACCCAGTGCACCTACCCCAATTTTCGATCTTAAAATATTGATTTTCCATTCAATAAAAACATAGGCCTAACGAATGCCCAGTTCGGTGACGGTGGAATGCAGCTGCAGTCCGTATACAGTACCTTACCAACAACACGGCCCACCAGCATTCCCGTACGTATAGGGAATCCACCAGGAAACACGTAAAACTATCCGCTCTAAACGGTAATAATAATTATCAGCTCGCTCTAAAAAAAAATAACTTTTATCTTGCCGTAAAGAGGTGTGATAACTCTCATTATCATGAAGTTTATTCAGAAATTGCAGTCGTTTTTTGATAGAAAAAAGTCTCAACTCGCGCTTTCCAGACAAGTGGGCGCTGCCATGATGTTCATTGCACGCAGATATACCATGCGCACAGTACAGCGCATGCAGGTTGCCTAAGTAGTCTTGAGCACAAGTAGGTTTATTTCTTTGTCCCGATTCGTAACCGATACTCGTGACGTGTATTACGACAAAATGAACCTGCATGGTATACTACGGAAACGTATTACCGCCACACATTTATTATTTTTTTTCACGTACGTACGTGATAGTTTCACGTACGTACGTGATAAGTTTCACGTACGTACGTGATATGTTTCACGTACGTACGTGATGTTATAGGTTTCACGTACGTACATGATAAGTTTCACGTACGTACGTGATAAGTTTCACGTACGTACGCGATAAGTTTCACGTACGTACGCGATAAGTTTCACGTACGTACGCGATGAGTTTCACGTACGTACGTGAAAACTATCAGTATATCACGTGTTTTACAGCGTGCGTTTAGTTAGTCTGGTTCCCAGGCCAAAAGATTCTGACTATTCCTGATGAATCTTAGGTCAGGCAGCCTCCGTGGCTAAAAATAAACATGACGACATTGATGGCCCTTTTTCAAAGCTCGGCTTCGTTTCCGATTTCGCTTTATCACGTTTAGCTTTTTAATGTTTTGATCAAATTTTTAAGTTAATCACTTGCTTCGTAATATCATACAGTTATGCTAATAACTGTATAACGAACAATTTGATATAGTTTTGAATCAATTTTGTTTATTCGTTCCGTTTGTTCGTTCGTTGGGGTGTTTGTTTGTTTGTTTGTTTGTTGTGTGCTTATTCTTTTCTCGCGTGCGCCCTTTTGCTTTTCGTTGTTGCTGTACTCCTGTCCGCATGCCGCCAACTTACTAGTTCATGTTATTGGGAGTTTCCTTTTTCGTGTTCTTGTTTTATGCAGAAGCAATTTTTGTTGTTAGCTTGCAGTACCTAGACCGGGATATGTTATGTATTTCAATTTTATGCGACGTCATGATGACTTAATCACGTGTCACAAAGTCGTTTCAAACAGCCGAAACAGCTGTGTTCGTCCACGTGGCAAACACGACTAACTTGTTGTAAGTGTATAGTTTTGTCATGGCGCCAACTTACGAGCTTATGTGATTCAGAGTTTTATTTTTCGTTCTCTTTCTTTTTGTGGGAAGGTTATTTTATAATAATTGTAATAACGTGGTGCTTATATAGCGCCTTATACCGTATAGCGCCTTAAGGTGTCAATGCACCTTTCAATTATTACCCCTGTTCGTCAGGCCACGAGACCACTTCTGCGGCAGCTCAATATCAGCACATACGGTTCGTACCTTCGCAGGTATACCCATGGGTGGAGAGAAGCACAAAGTGCCTTGCCCAAGGGCACACGCACCATAACCCCAAGCTGGACTTGAACCCACCACCTGCAGCTTTACCTGCAGACCACGGATCCAATGCCCTTAACCACGAGGCCACATCACTCCACATTTTGTGTAGCCGCGGCTGCATGGTTTTTGCTTCCTTGCTCCTTGATATCCCCCCCCCCCCCTTCCACTTCTGATACTGGCTGTATCAAAAGTAAAACTCATACAAACAATGTTGAGTTTAAAGGCGTACTTGTTGAACCGAAACGAAATGACACCCTCAACCTTCTCACGATATTTCCTCATTAGCCATGTGCTATACATGCAATATGACACACTATATACTACCAGCGTAATAATACCTAAGCCACCTGCTTAAGTTACTCAGTTCCCCAAAAAAAACAATTCAGGTGCAATTTGTTTCAATTTAAGTGAATCAGTGATGGTATTCTCTCTAGTGACAATTTAAAGCTGGGTACGACTCACGAAACTACATAGCATTCAGGACCGCCATGCCTTATGGCACTGCCCTAATCTAATTACGTTACATGAAGATGCCTGACAGGGAATTATCTTGTCTATATAATTCTCCATGGAAGGTGCACATTTCAAACTCGATAATAATTTTTTGTTATCCCAACATCCCATCTGCTGCTATGTGAAATGATGGCTGACGATATGCCCGGTCAAGACCTTCGTTTCGATCAACTTCCACTTTGTTGAAAACCATTCCCTTAAATAAACCAATTTTTGAACTGAGTAACATCCATTGATTCCTTCCTTTTCTCCTTATTTC